GTCAACATAATTAAGCAAACACCAAGTGTGCAGTGACTGCTGGAAATGCAAATACAGCACTGAAGATACACCACAATTACCACCATTTTGTTTCATTCATTTGCATGCTGAAGCCATTTCAATACTCCGTATTTACATCTAAATAATTCTACCTTAATATTACTCGTTGTTTGCAGAACCCAGATTTTAAGCGACGCAAAGGACACGAAAATTTAGCAACTTCTCAGAAAGCAGCACGAACAGAAATCACTTGGAATTAAATTGTGTAACAGTAGAAAAACCCTGAAAAAGTCCTGCTTTACCATTAAACTTTTGAACTCAAGTCTGTCAAATTCCTTTGCTGATAAATAGAATTATTTTTGGCCCAGTGATAAAAGTTTGCATTTCATCGGGATTAATGACCATGGAGAAATTATAAAAATAAAATCATCAAGCGCATTAATGGAGCACCTGACACCTCATTATTTTACAGTAAAGGAGAACAGCTGCAAAGTTGTTTGAGGTAAACATAGAAGTCAACTGCAAAAGAATTATATTATTTAGTCTAATTCTGCATTGCAACATTTCCTTGATCACTGCTTTAGTCATTGGAGGGAAGATGTGCAAAAGAATGTGTGTTAAGAGATGCATCAACCATGGACACGAGGACTTCTCTAGAATCCACATTTTTTCCCGCTTCACCCTGCTGCTGTAAAATAAAGCATCTGCAAACACACAAGAATTACTCCAAGTAGACAGCTGGTGAGTCTGGAACATCAGTAGTTCTTAGCAGAAGATAATGTTGTGCATTGTACTTAGGAAGAGAAGTGCAAACATTTTAATTAACATTGAATTTTTAAACTTCACGACATCAGACAGAGGTGTCACTACAGTGCAGGGAATAATTAAAGCAGCTTTGTGCTATGGCTTTCTTGTTTAGAGGCTGATTCAGGGATTTCTCTGCAAGAAACAGGCACGCTGTCAGCAATATTGATGTGCACAAGACATTTAAACTCAAGATTCCAGTGTTTAGAACTAGTGGGTTTGGGAAATAAAATGGAAAAAGGAGAAGTGTTATCTCACACCTGAAGAACTGATGATCTTTCTGTTCCTCTTCTGTTCCTCCATGACACATAAATGACATGCATGCTGTTCACCTCATTTTTGTTGGACAGGACCTTACAAATGAGCTGACCTTCCTCATTCCCTTCGCCAAGAGAAACATGCTATCACAGCTTCTCATAATACTACCACATATCCTTTTTGCTGAAATGCTTGTCTTCAAGTGTAAATCAGCGTGAATCAACTTTTCTCAAGTGTGAATCAATGTGAATCAGCAATGGGCTGCACTTCACATCTGGAGCCTTCCTTGCATTTATTTAAAAAAAAAAAAAAAAAAAAAAAACAACGGTAAAAATGAGAGCTTGAAGATTCCTCTCTGCATATTTTCTTATCAAACAAGAACTCTGAGAAAACCGAGTGTGTCAGAAATTAGTACAGTAAGTAAAATAGTCAATTGCTTTTTGTTTTTAATAGTTCACTGAAATTGAGAGAGGAAGAAAGAAATAACATTCAAATATTCCATTACTCTACTCTCTTTGACTTCCAAACTATCTCTGACCAACTGACCTGCGTGCATAATGCAATTAGATGCTACAGAAATAAATAAAATAGATTTAAATCTATTATATTAAATAAATATGAGACCTATGGCATACAAGAGCTATGGTAGAGTCCTTCAGCTACTCAGCAGACTATCTTTGAGCTCAGTACCTCTAAGGAATAGAATACTTCTGTATTTACTTGATCTATTTAATTGAACATGACGCTTTTTGCAGCGTAGATAGTTTTGCTGCCTTGAAAAAGAAAAATCTATCCTTCTGTGGTTTTTTTTTTTTTTTTTTAAACATTTCCAAGGGACAAACCTTGCTTTTCAACATTTGCGTCTTCCATAGACGTCAGAAATGTATTTCCTTAAATGTCCTCAAGCGTGAATGACTCTTATTTCCGTATTTACCATTAATGAATAGATGGCTAAAACAACGTAGTGACAAAGATACTAGTACAGACTGAACATGGAACTACTCTAGTGGCTTGCAAAGAAAGCAGCAAATGTACAACCACATTGCAAATCTACATCGAGTGTTTTAAAACTCCAGGACAATGGCAAAATAGGAGGATCAACACTATTAGATACTTTTTTTCAGCAAATATTAATGCATAGCATGTCTAAGCTCCTTTCTACATTTTATTCTCTAACAAACGAAGGCACTGCAAATCTCACAATAGCAGCAGCTTGTAGGTCCTGCTGCACATCATCTGCTGCAGCTAATATAGCCTCTTAATATTAGTTGTTAATATAGCAACTCAAAATGTGAGGTGACAGTATTCATTTTAAACCGTAAAACAGGCATAGAAAGTTGCAACACTGATTAAAGCAGACAGACTAGTTCAACTACTCAGTTCTACCTCTGTATACACAGAACTGATATTACTGAATCAAAAAGTACTAATGTAACAACTCCATTTACATTCCATTCAGGCAACAATAACGACTAGGTGAAAAAAAAACACACCTGGTGCCTGCTGGACAACCTACAAGATAAGCATATGGTGTTGGAACCATCTGTGAAGAAATACCTGTAGTAAGACAGAAGCTACAGCCCAGAAGTTTTGCAGATGGATACGGAATTCTGAGGATGGCCCCACACCCCAGTGAAGAGCTTGTTCTGACTCCTTGGCTCCCTGTGCATGCCTGACACCACACCAGAGAGAACAGCAAGAGACCACTTTTAATTTGACATGTGAGTGTTGAATCTATGACTGTAGTTGGATTACTTACACTTCAAAATCTCACAAAAAGAATTTATCACTAATCTCGCCAACAAATATCATAAGCAGACCTTCACAACTACCCAAGAGTTCAGCTGTTTTATACAAAGATAGCCTACAGATGCCTGAAACCTGACATTCTTCAGGGGAAAAAGTATCATTTATTTTTTTACCAGCAATGTAACGAGAAAGATCTTTTTTAAAAATGTTCCTATTGCCATACCATTTCCCCACTCACAGTTCTTGCTGGAACTGGATAAACTCATGGTTCCAGTACAATACGTCTCTATACAGTTCATAGTCATGCGAAATCCACGGAATATCCTTCTCTCTTCATTGTGCTTGACAATTCAAAGATTCATTACATTCACACACTATGAAAGCAGTTTTTCCCATACCCTTAGCCAAACTCAGGAGTATTTAAACTACAAGTAATACCAAACTGATGTCACTTCCCCTTCTGATACTTCTCTGTTTTTTCCCACTGCACCAACTCTCTTCCGCTTTTCTCAGGCAGCTAGAAATGACAGATAAGAGAATGCAAAGAAATGAAGCATGAACGTAAGAGGAAATCTAATTGGTTCAAGACTCTCTACTGTTTTTAATTTTGTACAGTCATTTACAGCTGTCTAAAGAGCGTGAAACACTGGCACCCAAGCAAGTGAGTAGGCAATTAAGATCTTGTATTCCACATTCATTCTGCGCAGATGTAAACCACTGGATATGGTACAACAGCAAGATGCTGAGCTCCCTAGCTTTAAAGCAATACATTCTTACATTCTGACTGCCAAGGACAACGCTGTTTTTCCCTGACATGCCTCAGTCCTGAAAGATGCTGAGTCCTATGACCCCATTGCAAAGTCAGGCATGCACATGCTATCATTATCTGCATCAGAGAAGGACAGGGCAAGCGAGGCCTAATGAACAGGTAAGCCAATCTCAATATTACTCAAGAAGTCCACTGCTCAGCCAAACATTTTATGTTTTGACCACACAACTGGAAACCCTTTAAACAACAGGATCAGGAAGACAGCTCAAAGTTCTGCATTAATAAAACTAAAAGCAAGTTGAGGCAATTAAAAGTTAGTTCAGAAGCTAATGTTGCCTGAAATACCTAACGCCTGCAAATCTGGTAATAAAACACAGAACTTCTTACTTCACAGACTGAAGTTTGACCCTCTTCATACTTCCTACCAACTGATCACCACACTGTAATGAACTGAATGGTGGTTTTGCTTTAAAGAGGAGCCGAAATATTTTCATTCCCATAGCAGCAGAAAGACAGAGACTGGAATCAGCAAGTGGACGCTGAGTTATCCCCTGGATTTCAGTAAAGGTCAATGTAAAAGGGGGGAATGGAGAATGCAACGAATATGCAAAAATAACATAACTGCAATAACACAGCTTTTATGAATGCTCAAATAACATTAAACTGTATTTGAAATAGCGAAGTAAAAATCCTAAATCTGTGTTTAAAATATTCCTATTTTAATTTGCTTTTCAACTAGTTAGCAGTACATTCTATTGATGTTTTTAAGAATAAAATTAAAACATAAAAGAACAGAACTCCTGTTTGTTTATTCATCCTCAAACCGTGATTATGTAGAGCATTAATGCATCTTAGGACTTTGAACAAAACAAGAAAGTATCTTTTTATTCAAGCAGCTTGTGTCGATTAAAAAATTAAAGGAACTTGTATTGTTTAGAGGAAAGAAAAGCCCAAAGTCTACAGATAAAATAATGCAGTAGTACTGTGGCTCTCAAATTAATTGAATTAACTGTAACCCTCTAAACACAAAATCACAAAAGTCTTTTACGAGCAAATATTTCTTCTGTCTTAATTATTAAAATAAAGGGTACCGACTAGACCATCCTCACAAACTGTCAGGCATAGGGTTTGTTTGTTTGCCTTTGACAACAACACATCCCAAAATACACAGTATATTTCAATTTGTTATGCCCCGAGTCTTCTGCCAAGCTGGATATGAACTGTAAACACGAAGAACATGTTAAGCCTATTCAAGCCCACAGACACTCACACACACACACACACACAAAAAAAAAAAATTAAAAAAAAAAAAAAAAATCAAGTTTTGCACAGTAAACTGCTATAATTTCCTGATGTAGGTCAAAACTCAGCAGGAAATCACATTGTCTATTTTTATCTCAGTTCACTGGAAGTGCTTTACCTTTCTGTTTTCTTGATAAGCACAGCCCTGAAGATTTGTTCCTGGGGAGTTTTCTCTTTTTCATCAGTTGGCTGCACGAAGGGGTGGACAGCAGCCAAGACGAAGCCCTGCTGGTATAATTCTTGCAGCTGAGCTGGAAGATCACGCAAAGAGGAAAGCTTGATTGCAGATGATCCTGGTAGCTCAGCTGGAAACAAAAAGAAAATGGTCAATAATTTTACACCAGACTATCATGTTTTTTAAAATCCAGGCTCTTCAGAGTTAAGCAAGCTTCACAGTAATCTACAATACGAACACAGAACCTTTTCCTGAAGTCCATTTTGTATTTCGTATTTTAAGCACACTGTTCTGGTGAAGAACTTCTATCGCTTAAGAGACTGGTGTGATTAAAAAACCAAATTCCCTACGTGGTCTGGTAGGGAAAGGGGATAATCAATGAAGGCTGTCCATATCAAATTGAAAAGCAACGAACTAAAGTAGGCATCTACACAAAAGTTGTATTGTTTTACTTGTAGATCACTGACAAAACACTGCTGAGACCGAATATCTACCAATACATCCAAAGAGTATTTTGTAGGTACACTGATAACAATAGTAAGAGCAATTAATACCCATAGTGATAAGAAATCTTTTCAGAACAGACAGTAAACACAGAATCTCAGGGTTTAAACCAGTATATATTAGAGATGATAATGAGTCCTATGCATGAAAATAATCCATGCCCAATGTGCTTGATGTGGATTGTTATGCCTTCCTATGAAGCAACAGATAATGCTGACTGCTGTCAGAGATTCAGTGTATAAACAGGCAGCCAGTACAGCAATTCCCTGCATCTCCTTGGAGTCTTGTGGGTTTCCAGAGAAAATCCCATAAATCACTTAAATCAGCCTTTCACTGTCTTTTTCTCTATATTAGTAAAACTTCACATACTCTGAAATCTTCTCTGAAAAGCTATCTTTCCTTCCTGGCCTTTGCCTTTTCGTTTCCATCTCTGTTGGGAGCTACTTATTATTTCATTTCTAACTATGCTGGAGCACAGTGTATGGTGAGGTGCTGAACAGCTTCCCCTCCCACTGGGATGGATGTCACAAGAAGCCCAACAGAGGTTCCCAGCACCTTGCAAGCTTGGGCCTTCCTTTAAAAAAATTTACCAGAGAATGGTTTGTATGAAAGACATCAGTGATGTAAAATAAGGTTTCATTGTTCCACTTTTTTCATCACATTCTGTAGCTACCCGTTATGAATAATGAAAGAGGTTATAAAAGACTAATAAATATTCAAAACTTATAATACAGGGAAATAATTCAAAGTATAACAGAATGGCTGTGCTTTGTATGCCTTTTCTTCATATAAGACCACGTTCCAAAGGAGGATAACAGAACGCTTTCACCAAGGACTGTAAGACACAGAACTTCAATTTTTGCAAAACAAGAAATGGAGGCAATGTGTGTGCTGACAGACAATATGATTCTACCTTCTATAACAGCATAAAAATCACAAGAGAAACATAAAAAGGGATACCCTATAAGAAATAATTCAACTGACTGCTACTTACCGGACCCTAGTGGAGATCAATACAGGGAAAGAAACCCCGATGCCAGAAATACCTTTTCCCTCGTGATACAGAGACTCCAAAAACTCCCAAATATGTTGCAAACAATTTAATTAATCAAAAGAACATGAAGGCCAGTACAGTTCTCTAAATGAGAGTTTTCCTTGGATACAAGTAAATGCTTAAACACTGATCAGTAATGCTAATTCTGGTAACGGTACTCCAATTTTTAACAATCATCTATGACAACTCATGTTTACCTTGCACATAAACCCAGCATCTCGACTCTTCTAAGCACGCCTTGTTAAAACTCACAGAAAGTCCACTCATTAGCATAGGAGTGTGACTACTGATCCCTGAAAGCTAACCTGAAGGGAAAGTGTGAAAACACATGTAATTGGAGCCTTGGGACACTTGATGATTACAAAAAGAAAGTAACAGAAAACAGCTGTAAGGTATCATCCAGCTTGCCCATTTTATTACCCAGAGTCAGAACTGGTCCTGGTTTAGCTATTTCTCACAGACTGTTTCCTCTGTTGTTAAAATCCTTTACAAATGGAGCTCCATTCCACAAGCCCCAAACGCAATCTTTCAGTACATCACTCCCCTTAATGTTCAATAGGTTTTCTGAGCACTCGGTTTAAATTTCCTGCTCTGAAGTTCAGAGTTGCTATTTCCTTGGTAGAACATCACTTTTTCTATCAATATTTTACAATCTCCAGTACATATTACACCCTAATCTTGTCTTCTTTAGAGAGCACAGACCCAGATCTTTTAGTGCTTTGTGTTCCCTTATATTTTCTAAATAATTTTGATGGGTCTTCTCCTGATTATCTTCAACTACACCTGTCTTCAAATACCCGAAGCTCATGACAGTGATCCAGCACAAGCCTCATCACTGTTTTGGGGATTGGAAGAGGTTTGAATTTATTATTCAAAGCATGCCAGTTTACACCACATGAGAAAAAAATATGAGATGCCTTTCTCAACAACTAACAGTTGCCAAATGTCCCTGTCCTTAGTGAATTTTAGTTATTTTTTCCTTTCAGCTCTCAACAGCCATTCTCAGCTGTGACCCTCACAGTACATAGTGCACATCTAAGCTGCGCTAACAATTATGTTGTTCGAAAAAGGACATCACACATTCCTGGAAAGCCACATTTATCCTCCAACCGTGTTCAAACTTGAATGGTAAGATTTCAGTGATTTCTTCAGCTAATTCTTCTAAGGTTCAACCTACTTGAAAACATCTCATTTATAAAGGCAGTCATTGATACAGTCTTTCCTTACTTTAGCTTAAATACAGAACACTAACATTTTCATGAAGTCACCTAAAACTTCATATAAAACCTGTCCAACTTTTTGGTTTAGCTGTTAAAGAGAATTCTAATCATGTCCCTGTCAAAAGATAAACGAAAATCAAAGTTGTGCAGAACAGGGAATTGAGTAAGGTAGCAGAGCAAATAAATGACCGAATAAAAACTTCCATAATTCCAGTACTTATAATAGATGTGAAAAGCCTCTACTTTGCCAAAAAGTAAAGCTGAACTCTTTCAGCAGCATCCATGTAGGTCTTGAAACAAAATGAACTCTAAGTTTTACATTTTGTTTCATGTTTCCTTATTTCATGGAATCATAGAAAGGTTTGAGTTGGAAGGGACCTTTAATATCATCTAGTTCCAACCTCCCTGCTATAGGCAGGCACATCTCCCTCTAGAGCAGGTTGCTCGAAGCCTCATCCAGCCTGGCCTTGAAGGCCTTCAGGGCGGGAGCATCCACAGCCTCTCTGGGCAACCTGTTCCAGTGTCTCACCACCCTCACAGTAAAGAATTTCTTCCTGATACCTAGTCTAAATCTACCCTCTTCCCGTTTAAAACCATTGCCCTCCTCCTGTCACTAAATGCCCATACAAACAGTCCATCCCCAGCTTTCCTTTAGGCCCCCTCCAAGTATCAGAAGGCTGCTGTGAAGTCTCCTTGGAGCCTTCTTTTCTCCAGGCTGAAGTGCCGCAGCTCTCACAGCCTGTCCTTACAGGGGAGGTGCTCCAGACCTCTGGTCACCTCTGTGGATGATTATTTATTGTTGCACTTTGCAAACTGACCTCAAAGACTCTACTGCTTATTCTGTCTGAATCTAAAAATGTGTGTAAGAAACATTTAAACGACAAATGCTGTGTCGTTGTGTTTTGGGCTTTTTTTTTTTTTGTTAAAGTTCAAAGAGGAAACAGAAGTACTGGCTGCTTTTGGAACTGATTATCAGACAGATTAACTTTGTTTCCTGATCAGTAACTGAAAATACTTCTGGCAATGCTCAGATATGGACAGAAAACTACAGCTTTTTTCAATAAGAAAAGCAAGTCTGCATTACAGTTTGCATCTATATGGTCCAAATGACTTTTCCAGGCCTTGGGACCTGCACATTCTTTGCCAATAATGGGGAAAATTTGCCCACCCCACTCACTATCCTCATCTTCCAGAGAAAACAGAAAAATCAATAAAAAGTTAGATTTGACATAAAAGTCTACAGGTTCAATCATGTATATATGTGGAGTGTTGTCTCTGCAGTTCCAAAAGGCAGAGAAAGATAATGCAATCTGACACACAGGTCATGAGGGACAAAAGTAGGCTGAGAAATATGGCTGGGGAGACACGTATGGAGGAGAACTGGTTCCTCCTCCTCGTTTTAATGAGCTCCTCTTTCCATCCAGCTCTACTTGCACTGCATTACTGCGGCAACTATAAGAAACTCTCCCAAATTATCAGTGGGAATGGGTGAGCAGCAGGAAGCAACAGTGTCACCTCCCTGAGTTCCAAGAAATCATCATGGACTGCTGCAAGAGAGATCAGACACCTACACCAGAACCCAATTAATCCTGCAGACAAAGAGGCCTTTGCTGTCAGGAGATGCCACACAGGTCCTCAGCCACCTTCTCTTGAAGCATGCTCCCAATTCTGGTACTATGACAAAAGACTTGGGTTATTTTGTGTTATTTTCTTTTTGGGACCTTTGGCAAAGCTACCACAAGAGTAGTATTCATCCCAGGAATGATCACTTTGTTTTTTGCAGAAACTTGCTGTGGCAACATACAAAGCTCCTCAGTACGCAGCCAACTGGACTACTGAAGGTCTTTAGACCAAAGGATCACTCATTCTGAAAGACAGAGTTAAGAAACACTGCTGCACCCTTTAATTAAACTAAAGCATAACTGCTAAGATCTCTGACAACTGTGTGATGGTCCATCCTACAGAAAGTAGTTGCATCCTCATCAAATATTAAGAGAAAAAAAACAGCTGCAACAAGCAGGCTAAATTTTCTCTATTAAACAACTTCTCTATTAAAACCATTTGGGAGATGCTATAAATCCAACATCCTCAAATAAAAAAGATATTTATGAAACGTTACAAAATAAAGCATGGTTTCACCTATTACCTCATGCTTAATACAAAAAAAATCAACTTTATTATTTATGTACTAGCTACAGTTCCTCTTTTTGAAATAGATATCCTGAGCAGAATTAGATTATTTTAGGCTGTTGTATTTGATAACCAGCAAATTTCGCTTCCTGCTATGTACCTTAATGCCAAAGCTAAAATAAATTCTATTACTTTTTGATTTCTTTATCCTGTTTAGCAAAC